GCAACCCGTGAATTATGGGATACTTTTCTGGTAGTGCTAATTCTATTTGCACTACATGGTTTCCCTCTGGGAAATTTTCAATCCCAGGCTTGCTCTGTATCTATATAAGTCTTTCAAAACAAGGGTCCTAAGTTCAAATGCTTCTAGCGAAGTTCACAAATGAAAGGAGTCAGGTATAAGAATTCAGCGGTTGGGGGAGGCTATGAGAAACAGGAGAGCAGGCCACATCTAGAGGGGCAGGCTAACTAGAAATCCGAACCAAGGCCACTGGCATGGAGTGGATCACCACGCATAGTGACTCTATAGGGCAGAGTAGAATTGCCCATAGGGGTTTCTGAGCTTGCAACTCTTTCCAGGGGTAGAAAGCCTCCTCTGTGGCCCTTGGAGTGGTTGGGGGTTTCTGACTGCAGGTAGCAGCCCAACTCAGAACTCACTGCAACCCCAGGGCTCCTTCAAAAGTGAAGCGGGTCCAGTTAGTTGTTGTGCGTAGGCATTTGAATTCACGACTCTTACTTTTTAAAGAGAAACCAAACATTTGGATATTTGTGAGTGATTGCTCAGTTTCCTAAATCTGACAAATTTCAACAGCGCAAGGCAGGTTGTGAAACAAATATTATCTGTGAACAAGAAAAATGTAACACATTAGAGCCATGCTATTTGACCTTAGCTGCAAAGTAGAGCCACCAGAGGAGCTTTGAGAAACCCTGATGCCCAGGCCACAGCCCAGACCAATGATGTCTCAGGAGCCGGGGTGGTGGGGGTGGCCCAAGTATGAATATACATTTTTAAGGTTCCCGTCTGGAGTCATTTTTTTTTCCAGCCAAATTTGAAAACCACTGTGTTGGAGGTTTCCGTTGACCTTGTTTCTTTCTTTTTCAACCTTTGTCAAATTTGGGCATGGCATTAGTAGGGGTTAATGAGGCCTCAGACAATCTTCATGTGATTGAATATCTAAGTATATATACCTTATGAAACTCAACTCCATCATGTCTGCCCCATCTGCCTTGCAACTTACACCATGTGGTGCAATTTCTGATGTGTCCAGACAACTGCATCCAATCAGTTGTTCTACTATGTCATTATTTTGTTTATATATATATATATATATAGTTTAAAAAATAAGATAATTCTTCCAATGAAATTTAATTTACTATAATGTTGTGTTTATTCTCAGCAGTATTTTCTGTTCTATTTTTAATCTTTTGTACCTTGAATAGTTTCAAGCCACCGTCTTGAAACCAAGATAGAACAACAAGCAAACCCATTGCGGTTGAGTGGATTCTGGCCCACAGTAAGCCTGAAGGACAGGGTAGCAGTGCCCTGTGAGCTTCCAAGACTGTAACTGTTTACAGGAGTAGAAACCCCCATCTTTTTCCTGCTGAGCAGCTGGTGGTTTCTAATTGCTGACCTTGAGAGTGGCAGTCCAATAAGTAATCACTATGCCATCATGGCTGCTCTCATCAGAGGCCCATGGTGAAATAATGACTATTTAAATCATATTGCAGTCTCAACAACCCAAACCACGTCCACTGAATGTGTCTCCCTAAGAACTTCTTTAACAAACAATCCTTGCAGTTCATTTGGAGAGGATGTCTACAGACAAAAGCTAGAGAGGGGGAGTAGAGGACAAGGGTAAGTCAACATGTATTGCCACTAGGGTTCTGGTTAACACACACACACACACACACACACACACACACACGGGGTTGTAAGTCAACATAGATTGTCACGAGGGTTCTAGTTCATACACACATGAGTTCATACAAATAAAATGTGCTTAAACATGTCTCTGTGATTAGTGGATGGTTTCAGAAAATTTCTCTCCGTAATATACGTGTCTTGGCTTTGTTAAGCTCAAAACCAAACTCTGCTCTTGAGCAGATTCCACCTCACAGCAGCCCTATGGGACAGCCCAGGGCTGCTTCTTTGGGTTTCCTAGTCTTTGAAATCTTTACAGGAGCACACAGCCTTGTCTTTCTTCCACAGATTGATTGACTGGTGGGTTTGAGCTGCCCACCTTGGGGTCAGCTGGCGCAGTGCATAGTCCACCATGCCACTAGGGCCTTTTAGTCTTGTTGGGATAGCTTAAGAATAAAAAGGGTCCACCCAAAACAGTGAGTTCTTGGGAGATCTGCCAAGCCAGTTAGTTCCAAGGCAGAGAGGTCCGCTCAGAACGTTATGGTGGCCGTGTTTTGGAATTTCCAAGCGGAAATCTCGATAGGTTCTTCTAAAAGGACAGAGGATGAACACTTGTTGTACTGTGAGTACGTTTGAAGTCGACGGAAGACTGCATTAGGAAGAGAAAGATCAGGAGACTCATGTCCATCAGGTGTTCTCCATCACAACAAAGCCCCTGTGTCTTCTTTAAGGGCAGTGAAGGCTATCCCAGAAAACTTCGGTTGGAAAACTTGACCCTTCCTACCCTACAGGCCTGATCGTACCCCTTCAGGCTTCCTCTGGTTCCCCAAATTCAAAGAATATTGCAAAGGAACACAATTTGAGCCCTTCGAGGATGGCCGAACTGCCATGTTGATGTGGCATAAGTCAAAGTGTGCCGAATCCATCAAGCAACACGTGTCTGCCCTGCCTTCTGAAGTGTCTATATCTAGATGGGGAAATACTGACCAACAATAGCTTCACATTTTGATATTTTGCTTCATAAAGCTTTCTTTGTTTTATAGCAGTACTCTTTTTACTTGCCCTCATACATTGCCTATGTTGTGGTCAGTTAATTGCACTTCGTGGTGAGGCCATCTCGCGCGACAGAGTAGAACTGCCGCTTCGACTTGTCTTGGGTGTGACCTCTGCAGAAGCCAGGCCTTTCTCCCACAAGGCTGTTGAGCAAATTCGAACCACCAACCTCTCAGTTAGCAGCTAAGCACTAAACTGTTGTGCCACAGACCCCTTACAATGGCTCGCCTCCTCCCTGTCAATTTTCCCAGCCTCGAAAGGCTGCTTTAATTTAACCTTGGAATATGCCATCCTAGTTCAGATGTTATTCTTCCGTGAAGATTTAAAAAAAAATTTATGTCATTTTAGAAAGTTTCACCACTACCTTAACATTAAACTTATGTTTTTCATTTTCATAATGCATTTGTTAAGGTAGTGTTGAGTTCAGTCATATGGTTGTGCATCATTTTATAGACTTGATACATTAAACTTTGCCAGTCTCTTGATTCCATGCTTTAAATAATTTTATCTTCTTGTTGCAGCACAATTTTCCAGATTTTTTGGCAATGTGGGCATTGCCAATAATGTGGGTAATTCCAACCTATGGAAGTACTTCATTTTGCATAACTGGTAAACAAAAGGAAACCATTCTGTCTCTGGCAAACTTTAAACTTTCATTATTTCAGAAATGTAGAGGATCAGAATTAATTGCCTCAAGCACAGAAGTGCTCTAATAGTCATTCATTGAAACCCACTAAAATCAGAATTGAAACGCCACAACAGCTGACCAGTGGACTCAGCGATTTTAGAGATTATGATGAGCTGATGAACTGATTCTTTCAGAAGAGATGATAATTACATTGAAGGCCAGTCATTTGAACTATATATTGCTAAGACTATTTGATGAAGGCCTTAATTAGGTTACTTGGATACGTACGGTAAAACTTTTAGCTAGTTCAAATAATGTATATAAATGGATGGATGTATGGATTGTGATAGGAACTGTAAGAGTCCCAATAAAATGATTTTTTAAAATGTATATATATGTATATATCTAAAACCCTTAACCCATTTAACAGATATTTTACATATATGCAATACATATTATATACAACCCACACATACTATACTTGTATATATAATACACATAAATAATAGGTGTATGTATAATACACATGTACTATATATATGTGTGTCCATGTAATATATATGCACTCATATGGTATGTTCCTTAGAAGCAATGATGGCAAGATTTCATCTCATGTACTTTGGACATGTTACTAGGAGAGACCAGTCCCTGGAAAGGACTTCATACTTGGTAAAGTAGAAGTTGGGCAGAAAAGAGGAAGCCCCTCAATGGAATGAAATGCCACAGTGGCTGTAATGATGGGCTCCAGGAGGGAATGGCGAGACGATCCAGGACAGGGAAGTGGTTTGCTCTGCTACACACGGGCTCTCTCTGTGTGTCATAAATGACGACAGCAGGGATAACAAGGACTAGGAATCCTACATATGTGTCTAGAGGAGGGTCAGCAAACTGTGGCTCTTTTGGGATGTACATGTGCCTCTGAAGGAAACTTGAAAATTAAAATAAAACTATCCTAGTTTGATTTATAACATTTTAAAGGATATTATTCAGATAATGGTGATTTCATTTGTTTGTAACAATATATTTATGGCTTTTGGATAATTTTCAAATTGTGAGAGACAGGATTAGCTCTTCCGCCTCAAAAGTTTGCTGACCTCTGGTCTTGAGAAACTAACATTGAGAAGGGTTTCACAAAGTACATTCTAATGCTTTCAAACCTTGGATGAAAGTTTTAAAATCTTGGAAGCAATCCTGGCTTACTGTTGCAGGTTTTTAAAATTTATAGATTGATCTGTGGTGGCCAGATCCTCTGGTACCTAATTTGAAGTATGCTCATTAGGTTCTTAGCTGTATAAGTTTTGTTCTCCTGTTGATCACTTTTAAAATTTAATTAAAGTTCTTGCTATATGTATATTTATGTGTGTATCAATCATAAATATGCATGTGTATTGATTTTCTCCAATTAGATGAAAAGTTGCTTTAATGACTGTGCCATTTTTATATATCTTTCTCCCTGTGCTGAAGACAGTGCTTCAGATATTGTATGCACTGATGAAATGCTTTCAGAATAAATCAACTTCTACATTAATATAGAGGTTCATGATAGCATTTGTAATTACCCAACTAATTGCTGAGATCAAATAAAAGGCGTCGGTTTTAAATTCTGGGCAATGACACACTGGCAATATGAAAGAACCAGGCAAAGGAAAACAAAACAAAACAACAACATTCGAAGACTTACTCTGTAGTCACTTGATGTCACATAAAATATAGGGAGGAAGGCCAACCAGATGATGCATGTGGTATACATGGTAAAACCAATGAACTTGGCTTCGTTGAAATTTTCGGGGCACTTCCGCGTTTTGAAGGCATACACAGTGCATAGGATCACCAGGAGCACGTCGTAACTAAGGGAGATCAACATGCTGGAATCTTTGACATTGCACTTTAAGATGACTCTTTCCCGTTTCTCCGCAAGGGTGTGTCTTCTGGTACCCGGAGCCTCCAGAAGGAGCCACACAGACACGCCCACAATTTGCACCAGGATCAGACCCAGACAGATGAAAACCTGCGAACTGGGGCTGATGAATTTTGGCCTCTGAGCGCCATTCTTGACCCCATCAAAGATGCGGGCAATGCAGTTGGTCTTGGTGAGCAGGGCTGAGTAGCAGACAGCGAAGGAGGTCCCGAGCCCTAGTCGGCGCAGTGCGCAGATGACTGGGGATGGCTTCGCAATGAAGAAGAATGTCATGCAATATGACAGCCCAACTCCAAACAACAAGATGTAGCAGAGCTCCCGGCCCGATGCTTTGACCAAAGGTGTGTTGTTGTGCTTGATAAAAACAGTCACAACCATGCATGTGCACACAAAACCCAGGCAAGCGATGGAGACTGGACCAATGGCCCAGGCATCTTCCCACTTGATGTAGTCCTCGGGGAGGTCAAAGCAGCCAGAGAGGTCAGTGGTGGGCCACTGGCCAGGACCACAATCCATACAGGTAAATTCGTCAGCCAGGTATTCGTAGGGCTCGCAGGGGATGCAGATCCAGCAGCAGACGTCCCCTGGTTGCATGTTCTTCATTTCATTGGGGGCACAGGGGTCGCTGCACTGCGAGGTGGGGACTGAGTTCCGGGACCAGTGGATGGCGTCGGCATCTAGTGAAAGGCTTTCTGCCCAGTGACCGACCTTCAAGTAGGAATACTTGCCGCTCACATACTGAAAATTGAACACGTTGTATCGACCCATTCCATCTCCAAAACTGTCAAACTTGACGATGCTGTCCGCACCTTTATCTGGGTTGAATGGAGCTGTGGCATGTAAAGTGAAAGACAAAAACAAAACAAGAACACCGTTTAGGAGTCTTAGATGTGATCATTCAATTACTTGATATCATAACTCAGCAAAATTTAAATCACAGGGTATGAGGATTGCTAGGTTGACATCGTTTACCACGTACCATTGAGAGTCATGCCGCAAAAATGACTAGAGTAAACACGGATACATTCATCAGTTCATTCATTCATTCAACATTACTGAATGTGTAGTGTCAACAATAACCACGAGTACAATGTCGTGCTGACCTCCGCAGAGCTCAGCAGGTAATGAGGAGCTGGCAAACACACAGCCATTGTTTTATGGGATATATGCAGGCACTTTCTTTTAAAGATTTCACAACAGGAACCAGGCAAATCTTTGTGTCTCATCATTATAAGGTATTTGTATACAGCCATCATAAATATTTTCCATCTGAAGTATGTTTTTTGGTAAAAATATTAAATTAACAGATTTTCTTCTTTATAAAAATAAAATTTTAACTATATGTTTATGATATGCTTGTTCTAAACAGTTGGAATGAATAGGAAAAATATTGAACTCTATTCCTCATCCCTCAACCTTAATAAAGCTCCATTAATATTTCATAGTAAATTTATATTGACTACATACATGCACGTGTCTATAGGTAGAGTGTTCTGCTAGCTACATAAACACCGATATTCTGAAGTTCCCAGTGAGGTGCAGAATCTATGCTTTAGTGTAAGTTCCTAAGTGCACAGGATGAATAGCCCCCATGCAGATCGGCTGACTTCAATCTTTTTCTTTCTTACAGCTCTTAGTAAATTCCAAATAGTATCAAAGAAAACCCAAACTAGGTGGAGCTTAGATAAATATATCCTCAGTGTCACTGGAAAAAAACCACATTATGGTAGGCAGAATAATAGCTTCTGAAAAATGTCCACATCCTAATTGCCAGAACCTGTGACTATGTTACAGTATATGGCAGGGGCGTCAAGAAAGTTCTTGGGAAAATGGAATTTAAAGAGAATGGAATTTTATATTGAACTTGAACTTTTTGAAGTCCTTTCATATGGTGGGGAACAGTTACGATTGCTAGTCACTAACTTTTATAGTTGAAAGTCACTCAAAACACCACTGAGAAAGAGGTAGAGGCAATATTGATGACAGGATGGGGTAACACTTTCAGGACCTTCATATGCTGATGAGACTTAACTAAAAATGAGAAGAGCAATCTAGAAAGAGTCATTAATAATTAGAAGGTGGAGTATACAAGTCAGGAATTTAGGAAAATTGGAAATCATTAAAACATGATATGGAATGCATAGTGATTTATATCCTAGCCAATAATAAGTTGCAGTGAAATGGTCTTGGTCATTTTGAATCTGAAAAGCATATGGTTTACTATTCCTGGAATGATAAACTCAAGAGCAATGGCTTTTCATTCATTATCAAAAAGAACATTTCAAGATTTACCTTGAAGTACAATGCTGTTTGTGATAGGACAATCTGTTAATAGGACTATTGTTCAAACTTATCCACCATCAATTTAAGCCAATGAAGAATCCTACCAACTTCTTCAGTCTTAATTTGATCAAACATGCAATTAATATGCATTAAAATGACTGGTGATTGGAATGCAAAAGTTGAGGAAGCATCAATAGTTGGAAAATATTGTTGATAGAAATGAAGCTGAAGATTACATGATTTGTCAGACTTTATGACAAATACCTTTAAAGAATAAACAAATGGCAATTATACAAGGCAACCTCACCAGATAGAGGCTACAGGCTTTAAGCTGACTATATTTGTTGGGAGAGATGATATAGAAACTCAGTATTATCAGACGAAACAAGGCTGGGGCAGACAGTGGAATGAGTAATCAATTTCTGATATGCAAATCCAAGTTGCAGATAATTTAAACAAGCCCACTAGGCAGAAATACAACCTCGAGTATGTGTTGTTGGTAGGTACCATAGAATCGGTTCGGACTCATGGCGACCCTATGTACAACAGTACAAAACACTACCCGGCCCTCACCGTGCTCACCATTGCTCCGATGTTTGAGTGCATTGTTGCAGCCACTTTGTCCGTCCGTCTCCTGAAGGGCCTTCCTCTTTTTCACCATCTCTCCACTTTACCAAGCACACTGTCCTTCTCCAGGGACGGGTCTCTCCTCACAACATGCCCAATGTACACGAGACCCAGGCTCATCATCCCTGCCTCTAAGGAGCCTTCTGGATGTACTTCTTACAAGACAGATCTCTGTTTGTTTGACAGTCCATGGTGTGTTTAATATTCCTCACCCACACCACAGTTCAAATGCATCATTTCCCTTCTGTCTTCTTATGCAGTGTCCAACTTTCACACGCATATGAAGCAGGTGAAAACGTATCTTACTTGAATTTAGAGATTATCTCCGGAACAGATTTGATGCATTAAACACTATTACCTGAAGGCCAGCTGAGCTGTGGGTTCACATCAAGGATGTCATATAAGAAGCAAAATGTTGAAGAGAGAGGAGAGAAAGAAAAAAGATCGAAGCTAAAACTCAGACACTGAGCTAAAGTGGATGGAAGAAATGATGACGTAAAAGAGCTGAAGAGAATTTTCAAAAGGCAGCTTGAGGAGCCAAAGCATTATAATTATCGTGCAAAGTCCCAGAGCTAGAGACCCAGAAGGGAGGGATATGCCCAGTATTTCTCCAGTTGAAAGAACTGAAAAAAAGTTCAAGCTTTGAATTCCAGTATTGAAGAATTAATTCTATGGGCAAAATGTTGAATGATACAGGAAGCATTAAAAGTAGATGGAAGGAACATATAGAGTTATTGTATTAAAAATAATTTTAAACATTTGTTTGCTGGGTCACCAGTTCAAGAGTAGCATAGGATGAAGAATTGTTGGTATTGAAGGAAAAAGGCCCAGGTGCATCACGGCAAAGAAAAAGGTTCCAAGAATTGTAGGGATATAAATAGAAAGGCTTTGACAAATGGATGCAGAAGTAGAAAAACTCACTATTCTATGCCAAGAAACTTGGAAGACAGCTCCTTGGCTAACTGACTAGAAGAGATTCATATTTGTGCCCAGTCACAGAAAGGTGACCCAACAGAATGCAGAAATTATCAAATAATATCGATATCACAAAATATTATCACAAACATTTTTAATTTTTGTGATATTTAAATAGTTAAAACTGTTGAAACAATACATTGATAGGAAGCTGCCAGAAATACAAGGTGGGTTCACAAGAGGTTATGGAAGAGGGATGTCAATGATATGACATGAATCTTACCTGAAATCAGAGAAGACCAGAGAGATATATACTTGCCTTTTTATTGACTACACAAAGGTATTCAACTGTGTGGATCATACAAAATATGTGTAACATTGTGAAGAATGGGGATTCCAGAACACTTAATTGTGCTTGTGTAGAACCACTTCCTAGATCAAGGGGTAGTTGTTCAAACAGAACAAGAGGATACTGCATAATTTAAAATCAGGAAAGGTGTTCATCAGGATTGTATACTTTCATATTTATTCACTCTCTATTCTGCATGCACAATATGAGAAACCAAACTATAGGAGGAAGAACCTGGCATTAGGATTGGAGGAAGTTTCATTAACAGCCTGCAATATGCAGATGTCACCACTTTGCTTACTGAAAGTGAAGAGGGCTTGAAACAGTCACTGTCGAGGAGCCCCCTGCAGCCTTCAGTCTGCAGTGCAACTCAACCTACAGCAACCAGAGCCTCACAACGGGACCCAGAGACAACCTCATGATAAATGGAGAAAGATGGAAATTGCTACAAATTTTATTTTACTTCAATCAAGAAGCAGTAGTTAAGGAAGCAGCAGCCAAGAAATTGAACAACATATTGCACTGGGCAAATATGTCACACAAGACTTCTTCAAAATGTTGAAGAGCACGATGTCATTTAGTCTAATCCTTAAAATACAGAAAACACAAATTCTAAATACAAGAATAAATTTACTGTCAGACCAAGTTTACTAATCATTTTGCTTGATCTCAGCAAGGTATTTTTAATAATCTCGTATGTATGAGGAAGCTGGAAAACGGATAAGGAAGACACAAATGGACTGGTGTATTTAAATTATGATATTGTTGAAGAGTATTGGAAGTGCCAAAGGCAGCCAGAAGGACAAACGCATCTGGTTGGGAAGAAGTACAGCTAGAGCGCTCCTTAGAAGCAAGTTGGCAAGACGTCTTCTATTTCAAGCATGCTATCAGGAGGGACCTGCTCTGAAAAAGGACATCATGCTTGTAAAGTAGAAAGTTAGTAAAAAAGAAAAGGACCTTTAACGAAATGGATTGCCACAGTGGCTACAACAATGTGTTCAAACCTAACAACAATTTTGAAGATGGGACAGAAACGGGAACTGCTTCTTTCTGTTGTAGATAAAGGCCCTGTGAGATAAAGGCCCACAGCACCTGACATCAATAATCTATAATGTCAAGACATGAGATTAGCTCGTATCACTCAAAAACATACACGGTAATAACAAGGATCCGTAATGTGAAAGTGGGAGGCAGAAGGATCGGTGGCTGAGTGATACAGCACGGGAAAGGCTCTATGGACTACAGCCAACTTTGAAGGTGGAAGGGGCCGTGAGCTAAGGAATGTGGGCAGTCTCTAGAAAATGGAAAAGACAAGTAAATGGATTCTCTCCCCAAGTCTCCAGAAAGGAAAGCAATTCTGCTGATTCTTTTGTAGTTAGCCCAGTGACATTTTGGATTTTTAACCTACAGAATCATACAATAATCAATATGTGTGGCTTAAGGCTAGTATGTCTCTGGTGATTTTTAACAGTTGCAGTATTTTATGTTAAACTCTCCAAAGTGAAGGCCATCAAGTTGGCTCATAGTGACACTTGGGAGTTTCAGAGGGTGAAAGTCTTTATGAGATCAGAAAGTCTCACTTTCTCCCAGAGTGGCTGGTGGGTTCAAACTGCTGACCTTGGTGTTAGCAGCACCAACTACCAATGCACGAAGCCA